CCACCCTTGACTCTTAAACCTAGAGACGCCCCTGGAAACAGGACTACACTGAAAAACAGGGCAAGCTCCATCCTGGAGAGAAATATAAGCTGTGCTGCTGCCATCAACACCTTTGTTTCTAGATGTTGGAGATCGGCCTGTTTTGACATGATGTGAATTGGAGCTATAGAAATAAACTGAATAGAATTGAATTCAGTTATTTGTGTTTTCTTTGCATCCACACGTTCCAGATACTGCAACTGGTTGTGCACCAGTTAAACATCTCCAGGGTGAATGATTGCCTCTATGATGCTATTAGTTTGTCTCTCCAGCCATTAGTTACGTGTCCATACATCTAACATAGAACAAGACTAATGAGACAACGGCTGCAGAGTCTCACAGTCACACACAGCTTTCACATTATTCACGGTGGTCGTCGATACAGACTGTCAATAAGAGCAGGATTCATCATTAAAGGTGTCTGTGTTGATGTGTTGGATTGTTTGTAGAGCCGTGAAACAGTTAGAGGAACCGTCTATCCCAGCAATGAATAAAATGGTAATTCTAAGCCAATACAGCCTAACAGGACAGGGAACTGAGGAAGAGTGTAAAGCTGCTGCATGAAGCCAGCGGTGCTTAAGAACAGTGAACTAGTCCATCCAGGTCAGGGGTCTGGTGGCAGCATGGAGGAGGAGGAGGAGGTCAGACCACATCTGGAGTACAGTAGATGTTGCTGTGGTGAAGAAGGCACTGAGCCAAACGTGATCCCTGTCAATCTACTGTCCTTATATCTACATCCACATTTATGGTCAGGAGATATAAATCAGGACACAAAGTGTTTAGATCCAGGATGTAAGCAGGTGAAATGAGCTTCCTCCATAGAGTGAATAGACTATTCCTGACACTACAGTCATTGCTTCTCCATACAGACGGAAGGGACTGTTGGTTGGATGCCTTCTTTAGATTTTATTTAGCAAATCCCACTGGGAAGACAATCTGTATGGTATAAGAACCAAAATGAAGACTGTTATGCACCTAGTGGTGCCTTTTTTCCTCAGCTCAGGAGACGTCTGATTCTACTGATCTAATTAATGGATAGAGCAGCTTTAGCTTTCCATAACCTGGAATGAGCATTGGATACAATATAGGTTAAAGTAAAAGTTGTTTAGACTGGTGTTAGCATTAGATAGGCTGGTGTTAGCATTGGATAGGCTGGTTTTAGCACTGAATAGGCTGGTGTTAGCATTGGATAGGATGGTTTTAGCACTGAATAGGCTGGTGTTAGCATTGGATAGCATGCCAATGCTGGTCTTCCTTTGGAATCGTAACCTGAAGTTGGCTACTGATTGTAGCTCTTGATTCAGCAAACAGCTAAAGATTTATTCCACCACTTTTAAGTATCCTTATTCACCTTAAGCAAGTACAGAACTTAGACTATTCAAATGCTTTTCTACTCTAAT